CACACACACACACACACACACACACACACACACACACACACACACACACCTCAGGAAGACACGAGGAAGAAAGTGAGCCAGTAGAAGAACATTAGTTTCTTTTACAGCAGCTAATGTTTTAAGTTGTTTTGTGTTTTTTGAATGTAAATAAACTCTGGTTCCATTCAGTCATTTTACCATTATTCTTATTTCTCAATGATATTTTCCTGAAATACTGTGAAACTGAATGAAACTCTGCAAGTTATAGTATTAATATGTGTATGTGTAAATGACCTTATAGAAAACAGAGGTGCAGCACAAAGGCTGGAATGTTACCAGTCCACTGGTAATTTTAGCATAATCAAACCATTGGCTAACCCCCTTTACTAGTGTTCTCAATAAAAATGTTTTGTTGTTGCACATTTTAAAGTGCAATTGATGACATAAAACCCTAGCTTACTCCACCATTCAAACAATTTGCACATTACCTGCAAAGTTTTAAGCTACCCTAAATGTGGAATTCCCTTCCACCACTATAATTCACCTTTGCATGGCATAGAGAGCTGACCATTATTACATTACTGCAGCTAGAGTTCTCCCTCAATCCCATAAATACCAACACATCACTCCGGTTCTGTCTTTTTGCATTGGCTCCCTGTGACTTTTAGAATTGATTTTAAAATTTAGCTGTTTGCTTTTAAATCCTTAAATGGCCAACTTATCTATCTGAGCTTCTTACCCCGAACATACCATCCTGTAACCTCAAATCCTTAAAGGGGCAATATCATGTAAAATCAACTTTTTTGAGTTTTATATCATGTTATAATGTTATCCTCTCATTAAAAACATGTCCAAAGCCTTGCTTTGACTCATTCATGCATGTTTGAGAAATCCTGCAGCGTTTTTAGGCAGCCATACTGAGGAGCAAAACGACAGGTGGGGACCAGAAACGCCCCTGGGACGTGTTTTTAAGCAGAACTTCCTCATGACAGAGTGCACCCCCTCCCCCCCACACACGACTCCTGCAGGCTCTTGGGTGAAAATGAAAGTGAAACTTAACTGTCTGCTGAGCTCTCAACATTAGTTCTCACTCAGTGAAGCTCTTTTCAGATTAAAAATACCTTTGAGGAAATGTATTTTCAGATGCCAAGTAAACTGCATCATGTCAGTCCCCCCCACACACACACCCCGAAATGGGCAGAAGCGAAGGTGGTTCTTAAAGAGACAGAGGCCAATTTCAAGGCGTTTAGAAGAGGAAGTGATGAGAAGATAAGTTTATTTTCTATTTAAACATAAAAACAGCATTTTAATAACAACTAAAGGTGGCATAGATACTTTATCAAGTATTTAAATATATGCCTGAGAAACACATAATATTGGCCCTTTAACTAAATTATTCCTTTCCACTCCCAGAGTTTGACTGGTGACAGGTGGAGGAAGGGCTTTTATACTCAGAGCTCCCAGTTTGTGGAACGCTCTCCCACTAAATACTAAACAGGTCGCCTCATTGTCTTCTTTTAAATCATTACTTCAAACTTACTTCTATAATTAGGCTTTTAATATTTGAATTTCCTTTGTATTTTTATTATTTTATTTAGTCTTACATTTTAAGATAGTTTAACTGATTTGATATACATTTTGTGTATTTTATGATGTTTTCATTGGTTTCTAAATGTAAAGCACTTTGTAACATTTGTTTAGAGAGATGCTGTACAAATAAAGTTGATGAAAGTTGAGGAGTTTAAAAAGCAGCCGCTCCTTTATGCAAATCTTTCAGGAGGCTACATACTGTATATTTGGTTCTTGTTTCAACCCCGTTTTGTATCGAGCAGATGATGACTAAAAAGGCAACTGCCTGGCATCCTGTTGGAGACATGCACAATCAGCAAGACACATGTTTAAAGCAGGTCTGCTTCACAGCTGTGCCACAGGACGCCAACAGGCCAGCAGGTGGTCTTTCCATCAGGTGATCTCAAACTCACTCTGAGCAACAGAGAGGCTCTCTGAGATTCATTAAGGACTAAATGATCACTCGCTACTTTGTGCATTTAACATAAAATTATCAAATTGAGTTTTTATCAGTGCTCTTTATTACTAAATTGTGCAGTTAGAATATCAAGCATTTTCAAGGATTTCAAGCACCTGTATCAACCCTGATTCTTGTTTTATTGAGTCTAATTTCATCAGGTAGTTGGGGGAAGGGGTGGGGCACACCCCTCAACCTCACTGACCTGTTCCAGGGTTCCAGGACAGGTCAGACCAGACTGGTCCTGGCTGACCCATATCACCCTAACCCTGCAGACGCAGGTATCTGCCACAGTTCAGTTTCTAACTCATTCACTGTGATGTTATCCGTGTTGCTCTGCTTTTATTCTGCTGGCTGTAAAGATGCTCCAACTTGTTGTGGAAGTTCAGTTCTCTACCAGGTGTGGGCGTTCGAATCGTTTTCTAATGTGTCACGATGTAAACATGAGTGATTCTGAATCAGTTTAAATGAATATCATGTCTGCCTGAATCTGAGTATTTGTTGTCTTTGTGTTTATCATCATTTTGTAGTTTTCCTCAGTCTCCCTTCAGTGATTTTCCAGACCTCTCCACCTCCCTCACCTGTCAGTAATCTGTAACCAGCTGATGCCCATCTCCTCTCTCCCTCAGCTTGTATTTAACTGGTCTCTTGTCCCCACTTCCTCATCTGATCGCCTGTGAGTTTTCCCTCAAGCTCAACAAGTTTATATATATATA